AAGTGTTACTGTTTAAAACGAACTCGGTGTTCCAAAGTGGTACTGTTTAAAACGAACTCGGTGTTCCAAAGTGGTACTGTTTAAAACGAACTCGGTGTTCCAAAGTGGTACTGTTTAAAACGAACTCGGTGTTCCAAAGTGGTACTGTTTAAAACACACTCGGTGTTCCAAAGTGGTACTGTTTAAAACACACTCGGTGTTCCAAAGTGGTACTGTTTAAAACGAACTCGGTGTTCTAAAGTGTTACTGTTTAAAACGAACTCGGTGTTCTAAAGTGTTACTGTTTAAAACGAACTCGGTTGTCTATTTAGTAACACGGCTCTTCTAAACTTAAATAAATTTCCCGCGGTCCACTGCAGAAAATTATGGAAGTATAACACGTGTGGCAATGTTATTTCATAGTTGTTATGCTGGGTTCATGCGCATGTCATTAATTTGTAGTTAGCATTTTACGAGGCATTATGTAGTTTGTATTATACTTTTGCTGAATGCAAAATTTAAAAAAATGTTGTCATGTAATCTTAAGCCTTTTTTGCGGCCCACTTCAAATTGCTTTGTGGCCTTCCGGTTGGGAAACACCAGTTTCAGGTGATATTGTTTTAAATATAATATGACGCTGTTTGGAACACATTTGAAAACACGTAGTTAATTAGAAATATTTAATTAATAGAAGAGATTATGGAATTTTACAAGTGACTGATTTTTGTTTTTCAATTAAAAAAGTCCGAACGTTTCGGTCTAATAACGTGGGAACAAAATTTGTATCTAAAACCTTTGTCTTGTTAAAAATCCATTTTTTTTTCTAAGAATTTTGTTTCGTTATAGAGAGAGAAGTTTACACGAAAGGATATTTTTTGATTCATTTACTACCGAGACAATATGTTAAAAACTGTTGAATGTTTATGGTAATTGTAAATTACTCGTTTAACGAAAATTTGTAATTCGTATGATTAGTTGCTTTTTTTTTATTGTTAAGGAAAAAAGCTACACATTGAACAAACTGTGTACTGCCAACCGCAGGTGTTGATAACCGATTTCTAGCTTTTTCAATCGCAGTCTTATCGCTGAGCCACTAGGGGAAAGACATGTATAATTCTATTGTTTACATATCCTAAGCCTAAATTATTATTTTTCTGTCCTCATTTATTCACCACTCGTACTGATGTTAATGAAGACACTGAAGTAAGTGAAGACATTCAGTGTGAAGCCACCTGCTAAATTATTTGACTTTTTTAAGCTTTGATACCTTTTCGGATACTTTTGACAAAATAAATAATGGTTTGGTTTTTACAACAAAATATTACACACCTCAAAAGTAAATCTTTAAGCCTTTGTAAAACTGGCTTTTTTATGTTCAGCTATGTGAGATAGAGAAACAAACAATGCAGGGGGGGGGGCCTTTGCGCTATTAATAGCTGTCTTTTTATTTGAAGTTCAGGGAGATTTTAATTTATCTTAGTGCTATGATTTTTCGTTTAGTTACTAAACTGTAACAAATGTAAATTCCATGTTTACCCCTTTTCATGTTTTCAATACACTATCGAAATACTAAAATCTCTTCCTACTTTCCACCCCCATTTTTATAATTAAACCACCCAATTTCAAGTCATATATTGCTAGTTTTCTAAGCCTCACTCCATAAACATTGAACCTTAATAACTGTTCATATGAAACCATCTTACATCTATTATGAAATATTCTGGTAAAAACATCATGCAAAACTTTGCTGAATTGAAAGTACATTGAGGTTCTTTTTCTTCAAACCTGAAAGTTATTGTTAAATTTTTTTTTCAAACAAGAGGATTAACAACATCTTTTAAATTAAAAAAAACAAGCACTTAACTTAAAGCACTTTTGAGCAGAAGTGTTCACTATATTTATAAGAGGGAAACTTGTAAACTTTTATCAGGTAAAAAAAATACACGTTTTAGACATAAAAAGCTTGAAATAGATAAAACTTCATGAAAACTGTTGCACATAAAAGTCAAACTTACGTTCTGTGCTTGGAGAATTTTCCTGTTACATGGCCCGAACCGTCACAACCACGTGTGGGGCAACTAGATTGCACAAAAATATAATTGTTATATTTCCATATTAGGGCACTGTTCTAAAACTCGTAGCTGACCTGTTTTTTTATTTGTAACCTTGTAGTTATATATTTTAAACCCACCAAAATAAACACTTATTTTTCATAAAAGATTTTTACAAACAATGATTTACAATCAAACATCTAGCCATCAGTAAAGTTGAGGGCTTGTAATGCTAAAATTTGTGTTTCGATCCCTACGGTGGTCACAATCAAAGATCACTAATCTGTAATGTTCCAGAGCTACAAGTAATGATCTTTCTGCCTTGTACAGGTTCACACTCGCGAATCTTGAAGAATAAATAAAAAACCCCACAACCATCTGTCGTCTTTAATGCGTATTTATTTAGATTTTACATCGAAAATTTAGAATTTTTTCAAGTTTATAAACTTGAGAATATTTTTCAGAGAAACACAATGTATAAGAGTAAAGTAGCCACCAGTGTGAGGTGATTTGTATCGGTTTTCATACTTACGTTAATAAAATAGGTAATAAAAATCAAATAAATATATATAAAAACACATCTCTCTCTGACGTCATCACTCTGCTAAGTGTGACATCATCACAAACAAAAAATACAGTAATAAAATAAATATGATTAGCCCTCCAGAAAACTCAATAATACAACTGTGTCGTGCCATAAGGTATCTATCTGCCTGAACCACGAGATCGAGACTCAGAAGTACGCAACCACAATGTTTCTTTTTCCACCAGAAATATTAAATGCCAAAATAGTTCATTCTCACGCTTGTAAACCTTCGTACGTGGGTCCAGTTATTTCTATACCATAGTTTTGAATATAATTTACTATTTAGGCTACATTGCGGAAATCACGATGACGGGAATTAAGGAGCACACCTCACTTTCCATCATTTTTTATTTAAAAACTGCTAGTCCTCGATTATTCAGTAGTAACCTTGAGAGTTTGTAATGCTAAAATTTGGAGTTCGATCCCTACGGTTGTCCCAATCAAAGACTACTAATCTGTCATTTTCCAGAGCTACAAGTAATGATCTTTCTTGGAGAAGTAAAATCCCACATGTGTGCCCTCTGATGGCTTATCAGTAAGTCGGGGCTTATAACATTAAAAATCAAGTTTCGATACCCGTGGTTGGTACAGCACAGATAAGTCATTGTGTAGCTTTTCGCTTAACAAAACAATACAATACAACCCCATCCATTGTGGAGATTTGTTTTATTTGTATTTATGCCAAGTCTATTAAGCCTATCTTTCCGCTTTCCCTACTTTTGAACTACTAACCAGAAGGAAGGCAGTCAGCCTACCATCTTGAGAAATTGATTGTCACTCAGAAAATGAAAAAAGGCTCAGAACATTTCCAGATTCAGAGAATCTAGTGTTGAAAATGAATAAGGCTCAAGATGTTCCCAGATTTAAATCAGTGAAAATGAAGGAGGCTCAGAACGTTAATAGATTTAAATCACTAGTAGTCAGGAAATGAAGGAGGGGTCAGGATGATCCCAGGTTCAAATCATCTAGTGCTCAGATAATAAAAATAATGTGACGGAAATCATATTAAGACAATAGATCACTGAAGCTGTGATATGTTATTTCAATCTTTACTGCAGCGTTTACTGCGACAAAATGAAAAGGGAGTTTTTCTTGTATATTACACACAACGATTGTTTTCATTTATATTTTTCTATTGTTGAATAATTTACATGAACGTGTTGTTAGCATGCTCGGACTGAGAATCTAATAATTTAAAGACACACTCTGGGGGTCTTTGGGTATACTGCAAGAGTGACGGTAACATCCAACTATTAGGTCAGATTTGTTTTTTTGTTTTTTGAATTTCGCACGAGAGCTATCTGCGCTAGCCGTCCCTAATTTAGCAGTGTAAGACTAGAGGGAAGGCAGCTAGTCATCACCACCCACCGCCAACTTTTGGGCTACTCTTTTACCAACGACTAGTGGGATTGACCGTCACATTATACCGCCCCCACGGCTGAAAGGGCGAGCATGTTCGATGTGACGGGGATTCGAACCCGCGTCCCGCAGATTGCGAGTCGAGCTCCCTAACCACCTGGCCATGCCGGGCCATTAGGTCAGATAAAAGTAACCCAAAACTTTATGGTTATTATTGTTGACTTGCTGCTTTTTCTGCAGTCTGTCTGTTTGTAGTTAAGCACAAAGCTACACAAAGGGCTATCTGTGCTCTGCCCACCACAGGCATCGAAGCCCGGTTTCTAGCGTTGTAAGTCCGCAAACATACCGCTGTGTCACTGGGGGGGGGATCTGTAGCCTGTCAGTTCGGAATTAGAGACAGCTAAGTGCATATAGCTCTTTTTGTAGGTTTGCGCATAAATTCTGAAACACTACCAGTCATGGTAATACTGACCTGTGATTTGTGGCGACATCTATTAACAAAATATAATATAATAATTCATGTATAAGATAAAGGATTTAGCGAGTCTATCAAACAAAGAATCCACCTACAAAATTAATTATTTTTAATTATTCTCGTGTTATTCCACAATTTTCTCACGATTATAGTTGCTGTTAGTTGAATAACAGTTGTGATCGATGTTATATTATTAATTTTCATCCGCTTTACATGTACTTTGAAAAAGTGAAGCGCATCAGACGTCACTGATACGTGTGGCTTCTATAAACAGGAAACTTCTGTGACTTCTAACGAACGTTTGAATCCACAACTTTTCATACGAATAAAACAGACGGATAGTTAATAAACAAATGATAAGACGGCTATATTTACATTAGGATGGCTATGAAAGAAACACAGCGTATTTCAAATATTTTATTACATTTGTTAAAAGCTAATTAACCCGTGATATACTACGTGGAGCAACCACCGTCAGATTTTTAAATGCATTTTTATATGTTGTTTATTCGCCTAATTGCTTGTGGGAACAGAATCCCACAAAAACCTATCGTCCACAAGAAAATGTAAACAAAATTCCCCATTAATATCGGAATTGATCCACTGTATAGGAGATCTTGGAGTCCCCTATATATATGTATTATACATAAAATATGACTGATTTAATTTTTTTTTCTACATAAGATTACACAGTACCGTGTAATGTGTAGATCTTACCGTTAAATATAAAAACAAGTAATTAATTTTAGGAAAATTGTACATGGCACCAAATCATTGAATTAGGAATGATGTAAAAAAAACTGGATACAATATTTTCAGGTGGCGTTAGGTGTTTTTGAAACTTTTCGAATAAAATCATAAAACTTAAGTTCGAACCTCAAGCATTGATCGACACAGAGGTAACTCAATGTTTATCGGTTTTATCATAAAGAATGATGCATTCAGATTTTAACGTGAAATTTAATGTTACATCATTTCATGATTTATGGCCGTTTCTGTCTGGTGGTTCGTGTGATATATATGATACATACGTTTGAGGTTTTGTCTTGCAATGATACTCTATTAGTTTCAGCTAGATGGTTGATGTTATATCACCTTGACGTCAGTTTCGGATAGATGGTTGATGTTATATCACCTTGACGTCAGTTTCGGATAGATGGTTGATGGTATATCACCTTGACGTCAGTTTCGGCTAGATGGTTGATGGTATATCACCTTGACGTCAGTTTCGGCTAGATGGTTGATGTTATATCACCTTGACGTCAGTTTCGGCTAGATGGTTGATGTTATATCACCCTGGCGTCAGTTTCGGCTAGATGGTTGATGTTATATCACCCTGGCGTCAGTTTCGGCTAGAAGGTTGATGTTATATCACCTTCACATTAGTTTCGGCTAGATTGTTGATGTTATGTCACCTTCACATTAGTTTCGGCTAGATGGTTGATGTTATATCACCTTCACATTAGTTTCGGCTAGATGGTTGATGTTATATCACCTTGACGTCACTTTCGGCTAGATGGTTGATGTTATATCACCTTGACGTCAGTTTCGGCTAGATGGTTGATGTTATATCACCTTGACGTCAGTTTCGGCTAGATGGTTGATGTTACATCACCTTGACGTCAGTTTCGGCTAGATGGTTGATGTTACATCACCTTGACGTCACTTTCGGCTAGATGGTTGATGTTACATCACATTGGCGTCACTTTCGGCTATATGGTTGATGTTACATCACATTGACGTCACTTTCGGCTAGATGGTTGATGCTACATAACATTGACATCAATTTGAACATCATTACATCACGTTTCAGAACCATATTATATTGCAAATTAGCATTGTTCTTACATCTCATTTTTCTTTCAAGGTCGGATGTGGCCTAGAGGTCAGCTTTGAATTCGAGAGTTCAAGGTTCGAGGCCTTTACGAGAAAACCACACTATTCGGTCAAGCAAGAGTATCCCGCCCAAAAATGGGCGCTAAGTGCCGTTGGTTAGCTGCCTTTCTTCCCTCCATACTGAGGTCTGCCAGCTCAAAATTAGGCTTGACAATGCTCAGATGGTCAACCCTCTGTGTAACTATGTGAAATAAATAAACTCTTTCAACATTACGAGATAGGTAATTTGAATGGCATGCGTATTAGTGTGCGGGATGTTAATGAATAATGCCCAGAACAGATGATACCTGTATTAGTTACATTTAAGATAGGCTTAGTGTATTCACTGAGAATGGTGGAAACCGTATTGAAGGTCTCAAGTGACAGTTTCTAAAAACCCGCTACTACATCCAAACTTTCAGAAATAAAGTTAATTTTGTCCTTGGTAAGCTTTTAATATACACCTTTTTAGTTTGTTCGTTGAATTTGCTCCCCACCTCAGTGGCATAGCGGTGTGTCTGCGGACTTAAAACGCTAGAAATCCGGTTTCAATACCCTTGGTGGGCAGAGCACAGATAGCCCATTGTCTGCTCCGGACCCGTTACACCACTGGTTACACTGTTATATAATAGTTTAAAAAGACTAGGAGTAACGCTCCTGTCTGCTCCGGACCGCTACACCACTGGTTACACTGTTATACAATCCGTTACTCCTAGTCTTTTTAAACCTCCTGTCTGCTCTGGACCCGCTACACCACTGGTTACACTGTTATACAATAGTTTAAAAAGACTAAGGAGTAACGCTCCTGTCTGCTCCGGACCCGCTACACCACTGGTTACACTGTTATACAATAGTTTAATTCTGTTCTCTTTTTTTTCGCGTAATTAATGTTTTGGGTAAATATAATATCGTGAAAACGTTGAAGAAAATCATTAGAAATGCTTTACTGGTTTCGGTGCGCGGTTTAAAGAAACGTTTTCTATATGCTCCAGCGCGTCTAAATCCCCATTGACTGATCAATAACGTACAAAGATTCCTGGTTAAAGATAAATAGATAAATTCTGGGATTTTCGATTCCCGGTAGTCTATATTACCTGATGTCTCCTGTGGGTGAAAGCAGAAGCACGTTTATGAAGAAAAAGACGCAGTCCTACCGCTGTCAGCGCGGTAAAGGTCTGTCTTTTGACTCGCAAGTAATGAACCATCTCAACCCCCAGAAGAGCACGGTTTCTTTGAGGTCTTATTGGTGAATTATCCTTTCCAGCTGGGGCACCGGTTGCTAGGCAACCGATGCTTCCTCGGTGTAAATCTGTTCTCCACGTTAGCATTCCAAAAGTTGAAACCACGGTCTCGAAACGAGATATTTTACAAAACATAACTGTTCAGTAGATGTCGAAGGTAATAGTAGGAGAATCATGACGGTTATATCCCGTTTCGAGAGTAAACATTGAACTCGAAGCGTTTACGTGTTATAAAAATGAAATAAAAGCAAATATCACAATAAACTATAAGCACAAATAATACTGCATTCAGAATCGAAACTATAGAAAACAATCGTATTGTTTAGGCAACAATAAATATTTGTTTTTACAAGAGTAACATTCGCTAATCACAAACGAAAAGTTAAGGATATCTTTTTGGTTTTTTTCTTTTTAAACTTAATGTGAATTTAGAAAAAGATGTGCTCTTCTCAACCTACCTTATTGTATCGAGAGTCGTTTCTGCAGCATGACAAAATAAAAACAAAAAGACAACAACATTTACAACCTATAAAACTTTACGATCAATTAGTTGAAAAAGTCAAGAAAATCAAGACCTTATTGAAAGTCTTATCAATCAAACTGTACAATTATTTTACAGTTAGTTTTTATCAAAGAATATTAGGGAAGCTTTTAAAAATTGGGAATTTGGTTTTTAAAATGAATTACAACCGTTTTAAAGATCCTTTAATGCTATATCTAGGACGTTTTGTGACAATTAAAACGTCCTTTTTTCTACGCAAAACTTGCTGTTATATTAGGTTTAAGATTTCACGTTAATTTATTAATATTAGAGTCGCTTTTATCAATATTGTATGCAAATTATGTGGTAAGCGAAAGCAAACGTAGTTATAATTAACCAACATAACTTCGAGTATTCTCTGTATAAAACGTTCTATAGGTAACGATACTAAACATATAATGATAAAACATATTGAGAGTGAAATATACACACACACATGCAAGACATTTCAATATATGATATACTTAATTGAAAGATCCAAAAATCAACAAACCTATTGTTTAAAGGTATATTTTTTCCAGAAAAAAACACCTGGTTGTACTTTACTTGATTTGACATAGTTTTGTTGAAGAATGGTAATAGATGGTAAACATTTTTAGTGAAGATTGAACATAAAATAAACTCTGGAAGTTGTTCTGTTACTTGAATAGGTAGGTTACGTAGCTATAGAATAGGCCCGGCATGGCCAGGTGGTTAAGGCACTCGACTCGCAATCTGAGGGTCGCGGGTTCGAATCCCTGTCACACCAAACATGCTCGCCCTTTCAGCCGTGAGGGCGTTATAATGTGACGGTC